CTCTTTCCCTACACGACGCTCTTCCGATCTTGCTGCTGCTGTAGAGAAAGAGGCGGCTCGAGATCTTCATACAAGTCGTACTCTTCTTCCTGCATGAGTTTTGTAGTAATGATAAATATAAAAGAATAGACAAAGAGAAGGGGATTCAATAATAATTATAATTATTAATTATAATTATTAATTATAACTATAAATATAATAATGAGCGAAGAAGACAAAAGAAATAAATAAATAACACAAAAACAAACAAACGCAAATCGCTACTTCTAAACAATAAATAAAAAGCAAACAAACAGAACCCCTGCTGCTGTTGCTGCTGTTGCTGCTGTTGCTGCTGTTGCTGTTGGTATTGTTGCTGCTGTTGCTGTTGCTGCTGTTGCTGCTCTGTTGTTGGTGCTGCTGTTGTTATTTCGGATGGTTGCAGTTGCTGTTGTTGCTGTTGCGTCTGCTGTTGTTTCTGCTGCAGATGCTGTTTCTGTTGATACTATTGCTGCTGCTGCTGCTATTGCTGCTGCTGCTCGTGCTATTGCTGCAGTTGCTGCTGCTAGTGCGGCAGCAGGTGCAGTTGGGGTTCACAATCCCCAGCTATAGTGCTGCTGCAGATGCTGCTGCTGCTGCTGTTTCTTTTGCTAATGCTGCTGCTGCTCCTGCTGCAGCGATTTGTGCCGGGTTGCTGCTGCTGCTGCTGCTGCTGCTGCTGCTGCTGCTTGCGGGTCTGTAATAAACAACGAGAAGAGTAAATTAAAATAGATTATTGATGTGTATTTAAACAAAAATAATAATAATTTTTGCTTCATGCCCCTCTCTTCCCTCAGAGTTGCTGCTGCTTTGAAGGCGTCGCGCTGCAGCAGCAGCAAACCGCAAAAGAAGATAAGATGAAGTAAATAACCCAAACAAATAAAATAAATAAATAAAGCAAACAAAACAACAAAACAAACAAACAAACAAACAAACACATCTAAACACACCGCATGCAAAACCCTTACGCTGCTCCTTGGGGCTGCTAGGGTTTAGGGTTTAGTTAGGGTTTAGGGTTTATAGAGGGCAGCAATAGTAAATCATATGGCGGCAGCAACAACACCAAGAACAGGAATAACAACAACAATAACAATAACAATAACAATAGCAATAACAATAACAGCTTAGCTGAAGCAATACCGGCATCAGCAGGAACAGCAGCAGAAACAGCAGCAACAGCAGCAGCAATAGCAGCAGCAACACAAGCAGCAACACAAGCAGCAACAGCAGCAGGTGCAGCAGCAGCACCCCGCAGCTTCCGTTTGTGTAGCTCAGGCTGCAACAGTAGACTGTTTGGCAGCTGCGGTCTTAGCAGCAGCAGTAGCAAAAGCGAGATGTGCAGCAGCAGCAGCAGCAGCAGCAGCAGCAGCAGTGGCAAGAGCAGCAGCACCACCAATAGGATCAGCAGCACCGGAAATAGCAATGGCAGCAGCAGCAACAGCAGCAATTAGGAGACACCGGAGGAGAATCAGCAGCACCAGCAGCAACAGCAGCAGCAGCAGCAGCTGAGGCAGCTGCAGCGCGTGCCGGAGTATAGCAGCAAAGCATCATAGGCAGCAGCAGCTTTTGCTATCTTTGGGTTTGTATTTCTGCAGCAGCAGGAGCTGCTGCAGCAATCGAAGCAGCAGCAGCAAGGGAACCAACACCAGCAGAACAGCAGCAGCAGCAGCAAAAGCAGAAGCAGTAGCAGCAAAAGAAGCAGCAGGAGCAGCAGCAGCAGCAGCAGGAGCAGCAGCTGCTCTAGATGAAAGGCCAAGCGGGAGTCTCCTTTCCTCCAGACCCATTGACAACGTGCAGCAGCAGCAGCAGCAGCAGCAGCAGCAGCAGCAGCAGCAGCAACCGCGGCAGCTGCTGTAGCTGCTGCTGCTGCTCTTCTGCTTCACGCTGCAGCTATGCAAACTTGCAGCAATCGATACCCCTCTCAGCGGGCACCCCGTTGCTGCTGCAGGAGACCTGGGACGTAATTGCTGCTGCTGCTGCTGCTGCCGCTGCTGCTGCTCAGCAGCCGCAGCAGCAGCAAGAGCAAACACAGCAGCAGCAAACCCAACAAGACCAACAAGATGATCAAGTACA